AGCTGTCTTGAACTGCTGCATAAGGGCCCTAGCAAAGGACCAGAGCTGGAGAAACCTTGGGCCATCTTTCTCTCTGCACCGCAACAACCTTGAATTTGAGGCACATCTTCAGCTAAAGAGAAGCTCGCACCCTTGGGGATCCCGGGAGCAGGTAACACGCACCACCCGCTCCTCTCAGTCTGGGCGCTAGGGTGGGTGATCTGGTTTATCTGCACAATAACCCTCAGGCAAATGTCTCTGGGCCCCAGGTAGCTCACCAGGACACGGGGCAAAGAAAAGTGCAGCCACGTGATTGGGGCGGGAGGGGTCAGTAGATCATGTAGATCACATGCAGGGACCGGGCGGGCTCTGGGGCTTGGTGCCAAGCCAAGCTGCACTCAGTGTGCACTGACTCCTTCATCAGTTGCCAGCCATTCACCCACCAGCTGTGGGACTCAGGATGTCCCAGCTTCTGGGCCCTAAGGCAGCCCTGTCCGCCTCTCCCAGGCTCCAGCGTCTTGTCTGTCTTGAAACTTGAGGCGTGACGTCCCTTAGAATTGTGGTTCTCAACCTTCCTAATACCGCGACCCTTTCATACAGTTTCTCATGTGGTGGTGACCCCCAACCATAAAATGATTTTTGTTGCCACTTCATCACTGTAATCTTGCTACTGTTATGAATTGTCATGTAAATATCTGATATGCAGGAGGTATTTTCACTGTTACAAATTGAACATAAAGCATCATGATTCATCACAGAAACAATGTCATTTTATATTGTGAAATATTTATTTCTAATGACAAATAAATGACATTTTGTCTTGAAGCATGGTGTAGCATGGGTAAGTCTTCACGCGGGTACTCGTAGGCGGGCGTATCTGCATGTGGGCGGACCCGCCTGGAGACGGATAGAGGAGCGGTGTCTCGGTTCCTAAGACCATCAGAAATACATGTTTCCCAAAGGTCTTAAGCGAACCCTGTGGAAGGGTCATTTGGCCCCCAAAGGGGTTGTGACCCACAGGAGGAGAACGGCGGCCTTAAAACTTATGGAAAGCTGTTCTCCTGTATTACATTTGAGACTGGGGGCTCTTCCGTCTCTGTTCACCGCTGTACTCCCATTTCTCTATGCAGACGCTTGGCTGGAATTTGTCTTTCAGTTAAAACCAAACAGCAACAGCGACATGAACCAGCTTTTAGTGACCCCCCACCCACCCCTGCCCCACTCCCCCAGCTACCACCCATTTCTCCCTTCAGGGCCCAACTGCTGTCTGCTACTTTGACCCAAGCTCTCCACAGTCCCCGATGACCCAAAGCAGAATGCCTGGCTCTCCCCTCTGCCCCACCCACCGCACATGGTGCTGCACAAACATGCCCTATAGACATGAACTTGTTTCATGTGCCCTCCTGGCCCTGTGTCCCAGTCTGGGTCCCTGAACCTCTGGCCTGAGCAGAACCGACTTCTCGGGGAACGTTTCCCAAGCCAGTAGTCACTGCGCATGTATCTGATTAGAAACCCACCTGTCGGACGAGGGGCAGCAAGCCCCCCAACCGGGCTAACTGTAGGCCGCCCTACCCTCCAGACAGGCCTTCCTGGAGCGATGTGTGGCAGAGGCTCAGGTGAAGGCGAGTCCCTGGCACGCACATCCTGCCACACCACACACACCTTCTCATCCAGGTGTCTCCTCCCATCCAGGTCTGACGGGTATGACCTTGGTAGCAGCAGACATGGCCTGGCCTTGGGCTCATCGTGCATGCCTGCCCTGGCGCTGGGCTACACAAGTGCCCTGAAGTTGGCAGCTTGTCCTGCTGAGGACAGGCATCAGAGGGCAGCATAGGGTGTGTTGGACCGAATGTTGGTCCGGGGAGGCAGAAATCCCAGAGGGCTCTGGGAACAGGCTCCCCTCCCTCGAGCTGCCTGTGGCTACTGGGCAGGATGGACTCATCAAAGGGAAAACCGGAGACTGCTGCCACGTCACCCTTTGCTGGGAACCCAAGTGGGCAGGTCCCTTCACGTCAACAGAGAGTGCTGCCTGCGCCCCGTCTCCTCAGGCCCCCGGCACATCCTGCACACATCCTGTACCTGGACACGGGGCCAGGAGACGCTAACTGGCCACAGCCATTCTGACCGGGGCCTGTGCTCTGTGCCAGCCAGGAGGTTGGGAGACAGCCCAGCTGGCTCAGGGTCAAACCAACCTCACTGTTGTTGACGCTCTCAGTGAGGGTTTCTGTGACTAGCAGCAGCATCTCCGACCCCAATCTGCCAGCTTTCCGATGGTGCCACGCTGGAGAGACACACACACACAAACACAACTGCCAAACCCCCACCCCAAGCTGGTTCCCGATCCCGGTCATTATCCGGCAGTGAAAACCCCCGTGCAACCCAAAACCAGATCACTGGATTTCCAGCCCCCTGCTGCCAGGGGTACCCCACTCCATTTGCTGAGCAAATGGTCTCTTGCACACTAAGGGCAGGGCAGACCAGGGCCCAGGCAACGACAGGGACTGCTCTCACCCAGGCCTGTCCCCATCGTCCTTCCTTCCCTCCCTTGGACACAGTGGACACGGCCAGGTGATTTTAATTTCCGAATTTATTAAAATGATTAACCTCAATACTGCAAGTGCATGTACAAAATATTTGTAAAAAATGTTTGTTTTTTTTAATGAAACATTAAAGAACTTACCTCAAATGCTGAAAAAGTCCTTTTTCATTCTCTCAGTACAAGGAATACACTGTATCTCAAAAAGTATTACAACGCAGCCAAACAGTTTAAAACAGTCATTGGGAAAATGATTTGAGAGTTGAGTGCTTCACATATATTTCTATGAGCAGTTCCTAATTCTTACAATACCAACATCTGTAACCGATCATTGCATAAACTCAAAGCTAGACGGTTTTTTTTGTCTTTTAAATCGAATTGCAACCTTTCCATACTGGTCACCAGTGTGTGGTCAAGTCTGACAGCAGGTCCAGGGCAGTCCCGAGGCCCCTACCGTTAGCACGTGGAGTGAGGGTCCCCTAGATGGACGGCATCACCAGTGCTTGTGCATTCTGACTCCTGAGGGGCGGTGACTCGTCACCAATGTCACTGCTCTGAGACCCACGGGAAGGTCGGCCTCCCGGGAGGAGGCCACAACAGTTATCAACACACACCATAAATAAATTACTACAATTATGCTGAAGCGTGGAGGGGAAAGCAAAGGGAGGTGGTGGCGATGGGGTGTTCTGTTCCTGAGGATGGACTCTCCTGAAATGGCTATTGTTGACGCTTCGAGTCCCCCCGAAAGCTCTGGTCCCGTCTGCCCTTCTTCAGCCCAGGTGGGGATGAGCGGGGCACAGGGCAGTTCTCAGCCCCAGGGTCTCGTCTTCCCCGCCCGCTCCTCGGTGGCCTGGGGATGGACATGGTGAGGACTGGGGCAGCAGGCTGTCCTGCCGTGTGCAGGGAACAGTTCTACCTGCGCAAGGGGGGGAGGGGGGACCAATGAATTCTACCACCTGCTTCCAACTCAATACCTGAGGGGCTCAACTGCACCGGACACACACAGGGTGTGTGTGTGTGTGTGTGTGTGTGTGTGGAGGGGGGTGTGCAGGCCAAGGGGACGCCTCGAGACAGAGATGTGAAACGCTTTGGGGGACGACAGGGACTTCAATTTGTCACTACCTGGCAGTCAAGTTACGGGAGGCCAACCAACACGCTGCCCCAGGACTGGGAGCGCAGGGGAGGGCCAGCAGTGAGTGTTCCTCCTGCCTCCCAGGGCAGCGGCTGCCCCTCGAGATGCCCCTCGGATGGCCAGGATTGCCTTTCCTTAGGGACACCACTGTGTGTCCACGGTCCCCGCTCCCTTCCCTCAAATGGGCAGAGACGTCAGGGAGGAGCCTGGGGTCGAACATAAAGTAGTAATCCAAACTCTGCTCATAAGTTACTTAAAATCCATTTCTCTTCTCAAAGTGCTTCAAAAACAAACAAAAACAAAGCCCCAGCAAGTCCGACTCCTCTTGTTAAATGATCAAAGTTCCTTTACTCGTTTCACGCAGACGCAGGCCGAGGACGCCCTGCTGCAGGGCTTTCAAACTACAGGTGGGCAATTTCCTTTTACTGGCAGGGCTATTCCTAAACTTAAAAAAAAAAAAAACAACCCTTCCCGGTAAGTTCTTTTTAATTTCTTAGGACCAAAAAAAAAAATTTTCCCCTCACAACACACAAATATTTACAACATCTACAATTGTTTTCAGTCCTTTACATTGAATTTCCAAGACAGACACTTTATAGGTTACCACAGAACAAAAGCTGTGACTCATGGTTTATTTCATAAACTATTATAAGTTAAAGAGGATAGATTTCTTCTTCTTTTCTTTAATATTCCTTGTAGCATTTTACAAGTGCAACAGAAAACTGGGAGGACCGGCGAGGGCAGCTGTGGCTCACTGACCCACGCGGCACCTCACTTCACGGCTCACAGCAAATTCTTGAAAAAATAAGCACCAATCATTCTTGCAAAAAACAATTTTATCTAAAAGGATCGAAAAGTGTTAAATACAATGTCTTTAATTTACACCACAAGCAATAAATACGGCGCGTGGGACTCGCCAGCCCCCGCCGGCCTCGCAGGTCCTTGTACCAAACGTTTGTTGCTGTCCTCCGACAAGACCACAGACAGGGCACCGGGCGGGAGGGGCACGTAGCAAAGAAATAAAAAAGCCATAGGTCCTTGCTGGTGATATTAGCATATACTAGAAAACCTTAATATGCTGCCGCTATGATTTAAGTTATTGTTTAGCCAGGTTTTAAAGAGCCAGTGGACGCTCTTAGAAAGTTTATAAAGAATAAAGAAGGGAAAAAAAAGTTTCAACTCCAACAAACGGCATGGCCACGTTCTCATGTGCTCAGTGTCCCCATGTGGCCAGACAGGCCCTGTGGTTTGCTCGAGCCCGACTGACCGACAACCCCCCCACCCCCCCACCACAGAGCCGGCCCAGGCTTGGCCCTGCCGGCAGGGCGGCCAGGGAAGGCAGGGCGGCCAGGGAAGAACTGCGATGGAAACACGGCCCGGCCGCCCCAGGGCGACCAGAGAAGGGCTGCGCCAAGGAGTGAGGGAAGGAGTGACCAGTTTGTTTTCCATTTGCCCGTGTGGGCTCCTTTCCAAGGCGGCGCAGGGCCGGCTCAGGCGTTGAGCCGCAGGGACTGGTCCTCGCGGCGCCGGGACGAGATGTCGATGTCGATGGAGTCCTTGCCGACGATCAGCCTCAGGCGCTTGGCGGGGGGCAGGGGGATGAAGTCGTCGTCGAAGTCGTCCTCCTCGTCGTCCTCGTCCTCGTCCCCACTGCCCTCCGAGGAGGACTCTGAGCCGGAGCTCTCCTCCTCGTACTGGCCATACTCGCCCACCTCCATGCGCGACTCCAGCAGCGAGAGGGCCTCGCCGCAGCACAGGCCGCCCCCGGCCGCCTCGGCCCGGCCCTCCTCGTCCCGCTTCAGCTGGATCTTGAGTTTTGTGGAGCCGCCGCCCGACCCTGAGTTGAACCCGTTGTTCAGCTTGGCGACATAGAGGTTGTTGTCGCCCTCGTGGTCCTTGCTCAGCTTGATGCTGAGCTTCGAGGCATTGACCCCGTCCTCCTCCGGCTCGGTGGCCCGGCTGCTGCTGTCGCGCCGCCGGCGCAGGGTCAGCTTGGGGATGCCTGAGCTGTTTTCCAGGATGAGCTGGGCGTCGTAGCGCGTGATGCGCCGCTGCTTCTTGCTCTTGGCAGTCCGGAAGCCATCTTTTGCTTTGAAACTGTCTGATGTGACCACCGAACAGCCCACGGGAGATGGGGTGCGGGCAGCATAGCCCGCTGGCATGGCCCCCGTGCCACTGTGCTCGCCCAGGTCACAGTGGGCGCCTGCCATGGCCGGCCCTGCACCCTCTTTTCCGGGGGCACTGAGCCCCGGCGTGGACTCCTCAGGTCTGCTGAAGGCCTTTCCCATCTTTCCTGGCCGCCACTTCTTTTTGGCAGTGCTGCCATCACTCTTGGGGGCCCTTGAGTCCCCCAGCTGTGTGGCCTCGGGCGCTGGGTCCTCCTGCAGCAGCCGGGGAGCTGGTGGGAGGGCCTCGTGTGCGCACAGCTCTGTCAGGCCCTCTATGTGGCTGTCCTCTGCGCTGGGGTCCAGCTGGGCGTCCAAGGCCTCCTTCAGGCTGGTCCTTGTGCGCGCCGAGCGCCGGGGGGGATGGGAGCAGGGGGAGCCCTCGCCCCGCGCTGGGGCACCCCTCCCCGAGTTCTGTCTGTGCTCTCTGGCCGCATGTCGAGTCAAGCACCCCCCAGGCGCACCAGCCTGCGCCAGGCCTTCAGGCTCCTGGCCCTTCTTCAGGGGCAGGCTCTTGTACAGCACGACTTTCGGCTCCTTCAGTACTAGGCTGCCCACTTCAAGTTTTCTGGACGCGGCCTTCTGCTCCAGCCGCCTGCAGTGGTTCCGTAACTTGACCTTGGAGAGGAAAGGCTTGGCCGGTGGTTTCAGTCTCTTTGGTACCCTGGAGTGGTTCACATGAGCGAGTCGGGATGAGGTAGAGTCGGAGGGAGCTGGCAGCCGCGCTACTGGCTGCCGGGGGAGCGGCCTGCTCTTGCTCTTCTTTACACCAACTGAAGATTTCCGGTGAGAAGCTGCGGGGTCAGGAAAAAAGAAAAACCGTGTGGGTCCACCGCAGTTCCGGGACGCAGGGCCCAACCAGGTGGTGGGCTGCAAGTGCTCTAGCACTCTCACCCAGTTCTCCCCTCCAACCCAAACCCTCTGCCGGTGGTGGGCTGCCTCAGCTTGCTTCTGTGGAGCAGCTGGGTCTGAGCCACCAGCCCGTCAGGAAGCAGTCCAGCTCGAACCCACGGCAGCACCAGGCCTCCCTCTCCTCTCTACTGCTGCCCCATACGCACACCACACGTGTCCCAGGGAGCGACCTGTGGGCTCAAACCTCTGAGCATCCTTACGAAGGAGGTTCCTTGTTTCATTTTCATTTCCAGACACTGCCCACCACTTAAGCATGTCGTCGCTGGCCACAGCGTCCAGCACACCAGAGCACATCACGGTGGCCTGAGAGGTTGCTCCTCAGGACACCTCACCCCTCCAGCCCATTTTAAGAGGCTTCCAAGATACTCACTGCCTTGAATCTCATCAGCCACCCTGGCCAGAGGTCTAGGACAACACACCACTATGCATGGCCTCCCAAGGCAAATCCTATGACGTGGTTCCAACAAGAACAAACCAACCCTGAGAAGTGAGCGTTGTAACGCCCAATAGAGTTACCACAATAAAAATAAAACCCCCTCCGACTCCCCAAGGACCAGTCAACGGAACACTGCAGCCCTCAGCCTCCCCCGGGAGGGGCCAGGGGGCCAAGAGGAGGGCGCCTGAGTCGTGATGGGTGAGCCCCTGGTGTCCAGCAGGGGGTTCGGCTCTTGGCACATTTGTTTTTTAGCTCTGTCAAGTCCGGCAGATTTGTTGCCCACTGCTCAGCTGTTCGTACCCATTTTGTCTCGTGCCCCTGAGGGCAAGCTCCCCCCACGGACCATCCCTCGGCCCACTTCCTCCGTCCTCCTCCTTCTCTGTACCTTCCTGCATCTGAGCGTTGCCCACACCGGCCTTCTCATCGCAGACTCCCTTCTCTTCTCCAGCACGGCGCCCCCACTCCCCAGACCACCTGGGGCTCAGGACTTTTCCTCTCTGGTGCCTCCAGTCACAGGCAAGAGTCAGGTTCTCACAAGGTGAGTGCCGCCCGCCCCCCAGCCCAGGGGAAAGGGCCTCCCTCAGCAGACTATGGCGGGAGGTCAGCCTTAGCTCATCAGCGCCTCACCATCCCTGCTGGTCAGGAAGCGCAGCAGGGGAAGAGCCCAGCACACAACTTCCGGGGTGGACACCGGGCAGCTGAGGATGCCAGGCAAATGCCTGTCCGCCTACTCCTCTGTCTGGGCAGCGGGTTTGCAACCATCAGTTAGCCATTACTGGATGATGAAGTCCTGGTGAATAACCAGCCTTCCCAAAATACCACAGCCGCAGCGAGGGCAGCCCTGTTCTCCGGGGTCTGCCTGCCAACAGCTCTGACACCCAGTGCAGCCTGACTCACGGGGTGGTGCCAACGGCAGAGTAGCATGCACACGCCCTTCCACCGGGCCCATGACTAGACCCAGGGACTTTGGACACGCAGTTGTAGGAAGTGTGGGCACTATTCGACTGAGTGGGCAGTTTATTGCCAAGGGTCTGAAGGAAATGGAATGTCAGATGGAATTGCTGGAAAGGGATCAGAGAATCCTTTCGCTGCAGGACTTGGCATGAGGTGTGCCAACAGAGTGGACGGGGATGGCGCTGGTCACTAAGCACTTGAGCGGGGCAGAAAGGTGGCCGCTGGCCGGCCCCCAGCCGTCTAGTTGAGTCTGCGCTTATCCAGGCCTCGTAGACACAGGTCATTCTCTGGACCATCATGGTGGCGGCCAGACTTTTCTTCTCCTTTCCCTTACAATGCCCCTTACACAGTCGCCCCAGAGCACAGGGGCACACGCGCCACCTTCTCCCCTGCACCCAGTCAGCACCCTGAAGACTTCGTCACCACGCACCGACACTTCCCTCCGCAGACATGACACAGCGCTCTTCTCGACAAGCCCTCGCCCGCTCGTCGCCCAGGCGTCCCTTCTGCTCTGCCCTTGAAGGGTCACCATCCAGCTTCTGCACTCTGCACATGCCCTCTGGGTGATGGGCCAGCACATGGACATGCTCCCAGCCCCGTACTTACCCACGGTGCCAACAGACACCTATCTCCCCGCACACTTGTGTCCCCCCACTGCCCAGGGGAACCCATCAGACAACAGCACCTTCTCCTGAGCTGCACTCCCAACTCCCTGCCCAAGCTGTGCGCAGCCTCCTGCCTGCCCCTCAGGCAGATTTCCTTTCCTGGCACCCCCCCGTCAGGCTGGGCTGGGAACGACATTGTGAACTCCGCGGTCCACTGTGCCATTCGCTCAAGCCCAGCTCTCCATCTGTCCGGCGATCGCGGGCGGAGGCTAGTGAGGTGCAGTCAGACGGGCACCTGCCACTTCTTCCCATGACGGGGCTGCTGCGCCTCACCAGGAGAGCCTGGGCCTCCCCTTTGCACCCCCTTCTCAGGGAGTCCCGTTGGATTCCCCATGAGCCTTTTCACAGGAGGCACCCTGGACATGTGTGCTGTCCACACTGGCCTTGTTGTCTTCAAGGCAGTGCTATCACAAAAGCCCACTCAAAAGTGCGCTCACAGTCAGAGACAAACGAGACTCGGCACGCAGGATGGCAGGCAGGAGAGTGACCAGGGATACCAGCAGTGCCAAGAGGCAGAGGGGGAGTGCGCACATGGCCAAGTTAAAGGCCCACTTCCTAAAAGTCCCCTGCAGGGGACTTGGGTTCTGCTGCCCTTGTTTCAGCGCCACTCGGGACAGGAGGGACATGTCCCAAACAGGAGAATCTGGCCAGTGGCTGGGGGAAGGCACACTCCCAGCACGGCCTCACCCTCAGGGGTCAGCGCCAGCACAGGGCTGGGCTGGCCCTGAGCTGCTGAGGAGGGGCGTAGGTCTACTCAAGCTACCCAGCTGGCCACCCCTCCAGGGCTCTGCTTCTCAGGAGCCCCGCAGTCCCAGCTCATGGGTAAGGGGCACTTCTGGGGGTCCTCAAGCAGCAGGTAGCCCAGCATGGGCCCATCCATGGTGACAGTAAGGCATGAGGGCAGCACCGTGACCAGGACACAGTCTCTGGAACAGGAAATGGACGCCCCAAGTCTCAGGAGGTTTCTACCAGGGACACAGTTGCCCTCTGTGAGATGTGGGTACGGTGGTGTGCACTACTCAGGCCGTGAGAGCAGCCTTCATCGACTGATCCTCTCCGAATGCTGAATAAACAGTCGCCTTTCTAAGCACGCCCGGCCACGCAGAGATGACTCATCCTTCAACTGGACACAGGAGTCTCTTTAAGAAAGCAGCTCTTTGGGTCAGCAGCTCAATCCCCAGTGTAGACTGGGGCAGAGAACGCAGCCCATGCTGCCGCCCACACTCAGCTCCTCGAGAGAGAAGGCCTGGCGTGCCCACCGCCTGCTGCTGAAGAACCAGGCTCGTCGACAAACAGAGAAGTGGGCTGGGGACACAGAAGGGCAGCAGCATCATTACAGACAGCCCAGCTCAGGTGCCACATCCTCTCCAGGACCAGAGCCAATGCTCCTGTGTTTCCATCAGATGCCCATTGCCCCCTGCTGCTGGACAGAGGAGGGGAACTGCCCAGTGGCCTTGCTGGGCTGCCATCTTCAGGGAAGCACACTGCTGTGTCCTTCTAGGCGGGTCACACCAGCACGTCTCCGTGAGCAGTCAGGTGCGAGGGCTGCTCTGTCAGCACCAACAGACTCTGAGACCACCTGGTTCTCAGTCAGGGTTACTCACGTGGTGGTGACACAGTAGCGAGGCAGCACACGCAGCCCCTTTCACAATAAGTACCTGTATTCTCATCTTCTCGGCTGAGCAGTGTGCCGAGGTAAATGTTTACACACCGAGGCATACAGAGTGGCATAGTTAACGCAGGAAAGCACCCACTCACATCCACCAATGTTGCAAAGCCTTTTACCGAGGACTGGCCGCACCCACGACACACAGGTCCTTGGTGCTGCACCCACCACCAACAGCCATCACCTGCCTGCTCTAGTCCCCCCGGGGCTCCAGCTCACACTGGGCTCCAGCGGCAGAGTCCCAGGGCTTCAGGCAGTGAGGCTCACCATCGTGGGGACCCCAGCCCTCGGCTCAGGTTTTCTATATGGTGGTGGTGGGCACCTCTCGGAACCAGGCTGAGGCTCCCAGGTGTTCAAGCACCTTATTTAAAAGCCCAGACAGGCCCAGCCTGAGGCGGGCCACATACCAGCCCGCCCGTCATGCTGGGGCAGGGCAGGCTAAACAGCATAGCCTCTAAGTGGCAACTAGAGAAATGGGCACCACCCGATGGGAAGAGCAGCAATCGGTTCAACCAAGGGCCAGATCAGGCTGCCTCCGGGCGTGTGGAGCCTGCCTTCTTTTCCTGTTTACTTTTCCTCCGTTCTCTCCAGTTTCCATCACGTATTGTGTGTCGTTTCCCCCTCCCCCGCAGTCTTGCTGCTTTCTCCTTTTCATTTCTGCTGTGGTGGCCAAGGCCATGGGCCGTCAGCCACACAGCAATAGGCAGGGCTGCCACCACAAACCCAAGTCTGCCAGCTGCTGGACGGGACCAGTTCCTTTGGAAAGAGCCCGCCAGCACTCCGTGGGGAGGCAGGGGAAGCCCCACATGGGTTCCCCAACCCCAAGAGCTGTGGGTGTCCTGCCACACTCGACTGACCTGGGATCATGCAACTCTGCACCCACCGGACTGTCACTTCTTGCTTCGGCGTTCTGCATCATCAGCATGCGGCTATGAGGGTGTCTGAAGAGGGCTCAACTAGCATCATGCCTATGGACTTGAGCTGGGCGGGGATACCTTCACGTATTTCATGGTTTTTTGAGATCGTTTTCCTACACACGAGAGAGCCACTGGATCAGCTTCTCGAGGTAACTCTGTCCGTCATGCACAGGGCACTGCCTACTAGGCCCTGAACCTGAGTTGGGTTGGCAGGGTCCTACTCAGCCCCATCTTCATGGAGGGCCTAATGGCCCCATGCCCATGCCCACCACTAACACCTGAAAAACCTTTCTCTGAAGTGCAGGATGGCCCTGGAACACCCGGTGAAGGGTTCAACATCCAGTTACCGGAGATCCACAGGCACAGGCACCTGGGTGTGGGGTGGGCGGTGCTATTTGCAGGTGGGATTTGCACAGGCACCCAAACCATCTTTAGAGCCCCTCAGCCCTGTAGAAGCTCTTGAGTGCCAGAGCTGCCCTCGGTACTAACAGTTCAGACCCGAGGCACGCTGCAGAAAGCAAGTGGTACAAAGCGTGCTGACAGCAGCCCGCGGGGGCATGCCCTCCAGCCCCAGCCCCTCACTTACTTGCGCTGTTTTTTTCCTGAGTGGTGTCTGCATCAGTGTTGGAGCTGACAGACTGGCTGTCTGAGTGTTTGCTGCTGTCCCCTAATTTCTTCAGCCGATTTAAGCGTTTGTCTGTTTCTCTGAGTCCATACTTGCTATTGATCACAGGAGCAGGCGCCGGCAGTCCCACTCTGGATTTGAAAGCACCAGTTCCACGCCTGAGAGATAAGAGCACAGGGTGAGCCGCCGCCGCGATCTGCACGTCCTTGCCGAGGGCTTGGCTGAGGGCAGTGGCTGCCCCGCCAGCAGCCGTGGCTGAGTAACAGGCGAGGCCCGAGTCATCACTGGACACACACCCGTTCCAGGATGCTCCACAGAAATTTAAGATGCAAACAGCCCGAGGTGCATAACAGAATTTGGCATAATTGTTGTTATGAAGTCACTAGTTGCCCATGGAAAACTATCAGACCATGTAAATTTTCAGGTGTAGCGAGAAATATAAAACTCTTCAAGTTCAGAACTAAGTGGCAGACACAAAAATGCTGGGTCTCAATTGCGACTTCAGAAGAGCAATCTGCCACGTCCCACCTCTGTTCTGACATCGACCCCTTACTTAAAAGAACAACAGTCACAGCATGTCCTTGAACTACGTCTGGGTGGTTAGGAGCCGTCCAGTCGGTTCCAACTCCACAGAGCACCAGGCAGCCAGGGCCTGCGCTGGCCGCTGCGCCGTCCTCACACTTGCGATGCCTGAACCCACTGTGGCAGCTGCGGTGTCTGTCCCTCTGGGTGAAAGACTTCCACTTTCTCACGGACCTTCTCTCAGGCAGGACGTCCTTCTCCACCTGCAAAGTGAGACCAAGTCTCTCCGCCTTGCTCCCAGGAGCACTCTGGCGGTCCCTCTCCCAAGACTGGCTTGTTCGTTGTCCGAGGTCTAGCTGATGTTCTTTACCAACGCGCTATTTCAAATGCATCCGTTCTTCAGTGCATTTCCTTCTTGTTCAGCTTTTCCAAGTACATGAGGACCGAGTCAGACGCACTTCAGTCCTCAAAGTGGGATCTTTGGTTTTGAACACTTTAGAGGGGTCTTTTGTAGCAGACTCATCCCAAAACAATCCATCACTTACTCAGTTTGATGTCAGATGAAAACACACCCAGGAGACGGGTTCGCCTGCCGCGGAGTCACATCGACTCACACTGTCACAGGAGCAGACGGCCTTCTCTGTCTCTAGCTCTTCTTTCTTTTCCGTCATTTTGTTGGGAGCTCTTACAGACAGTTCAATCACATCAAGCAGTATTGTACAACTGCTACCACAATCAGGTCCAAAATATCTTTCTTGAACTCCTTGGTATCAGCCCCTCTTCAACCCCTCCTTCCCCCAGAACCCTTATTTATTTAGGCCATCTCTAACACCGTCCACTATAGCCACTCACATACAGTTCTGTTGCTCGCTCCCTTCCAGTGGGCTTATACAGTAATCAGTGCTATCAGCTGCCCCTTCCCTCAGGGCTGTAATTCTTTTTTTTTTTTAATTATCATTTTATTGGGGACTCTTACATCTCTTGTTACAATCCATACATTGCTTACACCAGGCATGTTTGTACATATGTTGCCTTCGTTCATTTTCAGACATTTACTTTCTATTGAGCCCTTGGTACCAGCTCATTTTTATCCTCCCACCCCTTCCCCAGGGCTGGGTTCTGGCATTCGGGGATGGAAGGGGACGTGAGGGCGGGCAGTTTGACCACTTGGCTCCCACTGGCTGAGGATGTCCTCGGAGACGGACTGAGCTCGGTATCCACAGCCAGGAGAAGACAAGAGCTCTGCTCCGGGCCTCCACTAGCAGCCACCTTCTCTGATTTTCCGATCTAACAACGGGAGCACAGAGCGGGCGATTCTGCATGGGCGCCCTCTTCCCAGAAGTCTCCTCTTCACCAAGACTGTTGTGATAGCTGCTGTCAATGCCACCGGACAAACCCTGGAAGAGCTGTCACTGGCAACCGCCCAGCCTCTCCGGCGGGTCTCTCCTCCTGCTCAATGCCACACAGTGCTGGCTCCTGCTCCTTGTGTGGCTCAGCGGTGGTGGCGATGCTTTCTCGGAGCCAAGCCCAATGGTAGCAAGGCCTGGGCCGCCCCCCCCCCCCCCCAGCTCTTATGCAGAGTAGATGGCTGGTAAGGACTCACAAACGCATGGGCGGAACGAAGGGCAGGATGGCTCTGGCTGCTGGGAACCTGGGAGCCAAGCGTTAGTAAGTCAAAGGCTCAGGAGACTAGCTGCCACCCTGGCTGAGAATGGCCTGTGACCTCTCCTGCTCTATCCAGTCCCAGGGCTCTTCTGTGGCATACGGGGCACGTACCAGGGGGAGAACAGCACAGCCCCTCCCTGCCGGCTGACTCTACAAAGCTCAGGGAAACCGCTACCAGAGTGAGTGCCGTGTGAAGAAAGGAGCACAAACTCCACTCCATGGACCTGCATCTAAGGAAGGCTCAGCTGGTCAGAGAAAAGTCACTGAACGACAAGATCATCAACAGCCTGGGTGTAACAGCAGCGGCACTGGGTGGGGGTGCGCTCCTTCAAGAATAGGTGTGCCTCTGTTTATTAGCATCACTTAAAAAATAAAGGGCTGCCTCAAGTGGGTTTGTGCGGTGGACTGTGGTACCACTTTCCAGAGAGCTGGGCGGCCTCCCAGAGGCAGATTGCCAAGGACACACTGCTCCCCCTGGTACAGCTAGCCCCTCACCGGGGAAACCACGCTAACTCACAGCGACTCTAGCAGGCTTCAGAGGCTGTCAATCTTAGCCTCCTCTGTCTCCTGTAGAGAGGCTGGTGGGTTTGAACCCACAGACCAGGTTATTAGCAGCCAAATGCTTACTCAACATGCCACCACGGTATCTCAGATAAAGAGATAAGATCAATTCTTTTCAGGTTCCAGAACTTTCTATCCTCACTTCTAACATTGTTCAGTTCAATTCTAGAAATATGGGATATAATTAAAGTATATTTCACACAAAATAAGTGAACGCGAACACAGAATTACTTTAGAGATTGGAGCTTTGCCTAAAGCCCCTCTGTCCTACTCCCCTGTGGTTCTACTTATTGCCACCAACCATCGTGAGGCTGGAGACCATCCGCAGCCACTGGTCCTCCTCCTTCTTGGCAACTCTGCTTAACCAAGAAGGTCTTCTCCAGGTCTGGTTCCCCTGCTGATATGTTAGTATGTCCAAAGTAAATGAGATAAAGTCTCCTCATCCTTGTCTCTAGGGAGCATTGTGCCTGAGCAGTGTTTGCTCCTCTGGTAGTGCGAGGTGCTTTCCACATGCTCACCGGCACCCTAACTAGGGGACCCAGGGCACACTGGGACGCCCGTGGGCTCGCTTCACTCTGCACTTGCAGAGGGTCGTGGGGCTGGGGTGGGGTGCTCTTGGGCAGTCAGGCCCTGGCTGAGTTCAGAAGACATTGAGCTTCTCCATGTATCTCTTCCCACAGACACTATCTGGACGGCCTGATTCCTGTGTGTCCCACCTGGCGTGGTCCGTGTGTATTGCTGCAATGAATAAGCCGCTGAACATGCAAAATTCTACCCTGTGTCATTGTTACCACAGTTGCTATTTCCCAGCCACGAAGCCTTCTGTCTCCAACTTCTACGTTCCAATCACCAGCAGCGATCAACCTATCTTGACTGCCGTGGTTGATTTCAGACCACTAAAGTTGATACAAGTCTTCATCTTTGGCATCACTGGTCGGTGTGTCTACCTACATGATAGTCAGCATTAAGTGGTCCTTCTTGGGGGCAAATGTATTATTACTTTGTCACCGACAGCTTTTGGCCTCAGAATTGACTTGGCGCGTTCTCTTTGGGGATGACTGTGACACATCCCCTTCAATTTGTCATTCTTGGCCTATCAGACTATATGGTGATCTGATTCAAAATGAGAGGTACCAGCTCATTCAAACTCGTATAATCATTTTAGGAGGTTAATGTTCGCGTGTTCTACTTCAATCTTGCTGACTTCCCACTTTCCTGGATGCAGGCTTTGTACACTTCATGGTGAGTACTGGATGTTTGCAGCGGGTTCTTCTCATTTTGCATTGTGTCCCCTCAGCTAACGAAGGTCCCGGAAGGTCTGTTGGACCTACTTGGAGGAGACAGTTCTTCCCCCTCTCAGCTTTTGAGAGCCTTCGAGCCTCAGGGGCTCATCACCGGGCACTGCTGGTGGCCACAATCTTCCAAGGCCACTCCGAAGGTTTTCACTGCTGCCTTTTCAGAAGTAGATCACCAGATCTTTCTTCCTACTCTAGGTCCTGGAAGTGCTGTTGACCCCTGTCCACCATGGGTGACCCTGCTGGCTCAGCGCCCACTAATGGGTCCCTGGGTGGTGGCTCCCGTGACTATAGAAAGCCTCAGAGCTAGCCAACATTGGAAGCCTCCCCCTTTTTCATACAGAAAAGGCCAGCTTTACAGGGGTGAGAGCACATACGCAGGAGCCTCCTTCCACCACGGGATCCGCCACGCCCCCGGAAGACTGATCCTGGCTGCCAGGTGCCCACAGCTGGGTGCATCTGGGATGTGGCACGGCACCTGGGCTCCAACCTGCAGTACAACTCACATGCAGGAACCTGAGCTTCTGCCCAGCTAATACCACAGCACCTTCCTAGCTCCTGTCTGGGGACTGAGGGAGGCGGGCTGGTAAGGGGTCCAGCAGCATGTGGGCTTGGCGGCACCACTCCTAGATGGGACTACCCCTGGCAGTGCTCTCGGAGCCCCTCTGCAGCCAGTGCGCAGTCAGTCCCATGACGACGACCTCAGGGAGCAGTCCCACTGGCAGGTTTGGGCGGGGTGTGGGTGTTTCTCAAGGACTCCAGGATCTTGGTAGGCCACATGAGAGGTTCCTCCGTGAGGTCCAGCAAGGGACAGACAGAGCTTAGGGACTGTGAAGACTATGGACATGGAAATACCAAAACTCCACAAGACACAGTTTCAGAGAGAGCATGCAAGGTAGCAGGGCGGCCCTGCTCAGACCCTTGCTGGGGTGTGGTGGGCGGTGAAGTGGCCTTGCCCACTGTCTTTAGGACCTGCTCTCCGATGGGCACGTGAGACTCAGAGGAGGCAGTGCCACAGCGCCCATCCCATGAGCTTGTGCATGTGCGTGCACTCAGAGGGTTGCCTGAAGAACCCCGGAGGCCCTCCTGCGTTGGGTGCATAGGGAAGTGGGGGTGGGGGGAGCTGGCCGCCAAGCCCATGGTGACTTTACCTTTCACAAGTGTAGCACTCGCAGAACTCATTGTTCTCGCCAAAAAACCCATCTCCATAGTAACAAGAAATTTCCTCGCCGGGTTCAATGTCTCTCAGAGCCTTCACACACGCCGTGTCTCGCCCGGTGGACACAAACTGCAATGAGAGCCACTGGCTAAGCAACGCAGGGCGGAAGCCGACACACAGTACATGAGCTACCCCCCAAAAACGGTTTATGCTTACCTTACAGTTAGGTCTGCAATCTGAAAAATGTCCAAAAGATAAAGTCAATTAACTGCTGATAAGCTCCTGAAACACGAATAGTTACAGAAATTTGCAATAGGCTTTCCGCATCCACTGAGGACTCGGGACAGAAGGGGAGGCGCCCCCTTAAGCTAAAGGAGTCTTTGTCCTGATGCTTTCCTGAGAATTAAAATGAGACACCCCCCCCCCCCCTTCTCATTTCCAGCCCTCCCAAGGCAAGGGCCTCTCGTCCCTCCCATCGTTCACTCCACGCGGCTCCTATGGAGTGCAGGGAGGCTGGCTAACATCACCCGACCCTGAGCGCGGAGCCGAGAGGCGCAGCTTACCATGGTTGATGAAGGCAGCGGGGCCGAGCCAAAGCTGGGCACAGTTTTTCCGGGTGGAGTACATGACACTGAAGTCGTTCTCGCCATGTCTTAGCAGCATGTTCTCCTCAATTTCTGAAAGTTCGGCAATACAACCCACCAGTAATTCTATTTTGTCATTTCGTTTCCTATTTGAAATATGTGATGTGTTAAAAATGACTAGCAATTATAGGCACTATGGCTTCTCTTAAAAACAGCAGCCCCATCCACACCAGGGAATGAGAAGCCCTAGCCTCGGGGCCCACCTCGGACAATTCCTCTGGGAAGCCCCTGGGCCTGTGCAGTCTGGGCACCAGCTGCCGTCCCACCAGGGCCATCCTTCCAGGGCAGAACTGGGCAAGGGCTTTAAGGTCCGCTGCACTGACCCAGACCCGCTGAGCGTTGGGCTGGCGGTGGTGGTCACCACCGGCAATGGACCAGGGTCCTGAGCACCCAGACTGCTTGGCTACTTCCCCGGGAGGCATGCTGTGAGCCTCATGGGGTGGGGAATAGGCGGGGTGGGGGGCTGGACTTACATTTTCTGTAGTCCTGCTAAGCTAGTGCAACCAGAAAAACCAGACCTTTCATATTTAACCCAGTGAACCCCAAAAAGGACCTCAACCTCTCCTATCTTCACACCTGCTATTTCCCGCAGCAGCTGCTGGCCCACCCCATTTACACAAGCAGCCACGAGAGCCAATCAGCAGGTTTCCTGCTGCCCGAGGTAGGAACTGCGCCCTCACACCCACGGGCCTCCTCATTCAGGTGCCTGACGATGGGGCCCCGGGGAAGTGGGCATGTGTGGGGCAGTGAGACAGGGCGCAATTGGAACACCCCTCTCTGGCTCTCCACCAAGCCTAACAGGCCCAGCAGCTTCTGTTCGGAAGGGCACACACTATTCAATGTCTACCACCAAATCCCTAGACCCCAAGGGCTTCCTCCCAACCGGTGTTCTCCTGACACTAGAAGTCTGCCTCTGGGAGCTGAGGGTCCAGGCCTCGGCGGCCTTCACCTCCCACTAGCTGAGCTGACGCTGGCTCAATGGATGAGTGTTGGCCTAGAGGTGGTGGATCTGGATGCAAGCAGCAACCCCCCCACCCCCACCCCCCGCCCCCAAGTCCTCTCCATGCTGCTGGGGCCCAGCCTGGGCACTGCAGTGGCTCCCCCTCTGGACTAGTGCCGTAGTTACCACTCTTTTGTTGCGACTATCCTGGCTCCATTCTGTTCTGACGAGTATCTGTTACAAGGCAGTATCTCAAACCCACTGTCGGCCGCGAACATCCGCAAGTAAATGAATACCTGAAACGGGACATAGGACTTGACAGACTCTCGGAGTCAGAAAGACAGCCCCGCCAGCTGGTTAAGCAACAGACTTCCGGCTACTACAAACGGACTCCATGGCAGAGCACCTAACAGCACGGCTCAGTGACCCCAACCTCCCGCAGGCGTGTGTGTCACTTCTGGGAGAGTGACAAGGTGCCCTCTGGAAATGCCCCTCCCCAGGACCCCTGACGTGTTCTGATGGGACCTGTCTCAGTTGCCACAAAGTCGGGCTTGCACACATTCCCGGCAGCCACCTGCTTACCCCACTTACGTGCTCTCTGAATAGCCTCTCCTGTGTCTTGTTCTTGTTCAGGAAGTAGTGCCGCGCCCACTCGCCCGACGTCAGGCACTTGAAGGCCTTCTCCAGGTGCTCGTCCCTCTTGAATCGTTCAATCACTTCCTTCAGCTCTTCCTGACGCCCTTTGATGGGCCGGAACCTGCAAGAAACCCAAACAGCCACTGAGTCCCCACCCACCCCAGGCCTGGGAGACCACAAGCCAACATGTGACAGCAGCCCCAACTCTCAACATTTTTGACAAAAGGGATTACAGACGGCCACTCTTTACATCCAAACAGTATCAGGGCTCAGGACAAACAGGAGCGTCCGCACACTGAATCTAAGTCCTGTGGCGGCGTCAGTTAGAAAAGGCTGTCAACAATGGTTGCCCAACACGAAGAGTCTAATTAATGGCACCGAATTATACACGGAGAAGTTGTGGAATTGGAGAAAATTTTGTCATATACTGTCACCCCCAAAATAGTCATTCCACTAATAACATGAGAACAAGGAAGAAGAAATGCCCTAAACCTCACTATGGCTCAGAATGACTCCATGGCAGCGGAAGGAGGCAGAGAGATGCTCAAGCTCTGCCCTGGCTTTAAAGAAAAGTACTTCTCATGACTTTTAAGAACACTGTGAACTAGGTGGATGGATGCTCCTTCATTCTACCATTTAAAATTTAGACCTGAAAATGCTACACCAGAGAGGACCTAGTGGTGTGGCCAGCAATCAGCTTCTACAGCATCTCACAGGAGAGACTCAGGCCCAGACCTCACCAAGGACGGTGGACTGGGTGTGGTTTAGGGGACAGCACCCAAGGTGCTGTGGTGGGCAATATGAGCCAGGAAACATGGGCCCTGCTCTTGGAAATGTTAACTGGGCAAAAGAGAGGCAAACACACACACACACACACACACACACACACACACACACACACTGGGCAAAAGAGAGGCAAACACACACACCACACACTCCCCCAAACAGCCAGAGCACCGCGACAGCCCCCACAGACCCACGTCCCTGCATGAAAGGCTGCCCCCCACAATCCTGAGGAAGGGTGCAGGCTCAACACTGGGTTGGGGGGCTTGCTCAGTGAGGGTTTGGGCTCGATGCTGACATGGGCAGTGGGGAAAGCGGGGACCTGGGCTTTTTGCCTCAGCAGCAGACCACCTATCAGCAGCAGCGGCAGCAAGGAGTCAGAACACAGGCTGAGAGGAGTGAAGTCGGGATGGCAGGAAGGCAGAGCCAGCCGGTGGGCTCACAGGCGCCAAGGACAGCAAGGGCATAGCTATGCTGCCTACTGGGTGGAAGGCAGGCAGCTTCCCATCCATGGTCAGCCTAACCCCCACAGCACCTGAGCACAGTGATCTCAACAGTTCACACACTACTCTACAAGTGGACGGGCCGCTTTCAGTTTTCCAGGATGGCGTCCCAGTCCTCATGGACGAGTGAAGTCCTTTCGACGGCAAGAGTATCTCCAGGTGGTCAGATCCATCACTCAAGCCATCGAGCTTGTAAGTCATCACAATCAACTTGACCAAGAAGGTCACCGTCAAACCCGTGGACATCGAGTCGATCGGAGCTCTGAGTAGAGCAGCTCCACGAGAGGAGTTGGCTTCCCCGTCCTGCCATGGAGTCAGCGTCTGGCGGCCTTGCAGTTAGCGGCCCAACACCTCACCCACTATGCCCCCAGGGCTCCTCTTCTTGCCACAGGCCTGCACTGCTGGGTCATTTGCAGGCGGTCGCGAAGGCATCATGACCCAGGCGGTGTGAAAGGTGAAATGATGCAGGACCCAGACGCCATGTTAGCACCTGACCTGCAACATGCCTGCCCATGCCCGACAGCACTTGGCTGGTGTGGCATGCTGCTATGTCATGGCTCTATGGCACTGTCAGGACAGTAGCACCATGTCATCACTGACAGCGAGCTCCAGGTCCGGGGGCCTGAGCGGCTCCCAAAGCTGCAGGTGCTCTCTGTGTGCCCTTTTGAGAGCAGGTGCCCAGTGGAGGCTCGCAGGCACGACCAACTCAAAACAAGCAACACCTGAAGGCGGATTGCCCTCGGTCTTTGGTGGTGCTGTGGGGCAAGCACTGAGCTGGTAACATATAGGTTGGTGGTTCAAACCTATTAGCCACTCTTGTGGGAGCAAAAGGAGCCTGGTTGTGTGTCGTAAAGACTTACAGCTTCGGAGACCCTGTATCAGGCCAACACCCATGGGTGTGGGTCTGTCAGTTCCATCCTTCCTAGACTGACTCCTGCTTTCCCGACCCCACTGCCTCAAACATGAACAAACTCTCACAGGGTTTCTGACCGCCATTCGCTGGAACTTCCATTTCCCTGAAAATGTCACATAGTGTCCTCACACTGTGAACATCTACTGCCAGTTGGCTGTCAGATACATGAGGGGACAGTGAGGCAAGAGAGGAAGAATGGGGCTACCGGTGTCAATGGCAAAGAGAAACACCCCTAAAGGTACCCCACAATCACCTGGCTATGCACACTTCGTGTGAAATCCCAGGGTAACAAATGTGGTGGGAGACTGAAGCCCTTTAGAGTATTCTACCTGCAACAAAGCCCCATGGAGAAGGGCTTTCTATTACGGAACACCCACAGCAAGCCTGCCTCCTCGAACGGTGCTTGGAACCCCCCCCACCCCCGCCCTCTTCACGGAGGAAAGCGAATGAGACACAAGGCTGTGCATGGCATCGTGAGCCCGAGGACTGGGGCTAGCCTTTATTTGGGGACAGAAGCCAGCTCTTTCTGCCCTTTCTGGACGAGCACTGGACCAGACTAGCCTGACATGAACACCATGGTTGGCCTCCCCGGGAGGGAGCGGGTCCACACGCTCCTGCCACCTTTTCCAGTCAGAGCTTCCTGTTCTAGTCCCTCCTTGCTTTGTGCCCCCACCCCCCACCATCAGGTGAGACGAACGACAGCAACCTTTGCAAAGGAGCCCTGGTGGCGAAGGGGCTCCGCGTTGGGCACCAGCTGCTCCTTGGAGAAAGACGAGGCCGTCTACTGCGGGAAACTTTGGAAACCGACAGGGGCCGTTCTACCCTGTCCTAGGAATTGGCATGGACTGGGTGGCAGTGAGTTTATTGATCTTGCGAAAAGAAACCGAGCAGGACAAGAGCGTGCTCTTCACTGTACACAGCCAGGGGCTTGTAGCTGACGACGGAATGGAAGAGAACACAGACTGCTGTTAGGGGCCAGTGGCCAGACTGTGGTCTCGAGACCACAGTGGGTGTGCACGCCGCACTGACGGCAAGGGATGTGAGCGGGGGTCAGGTCTCATCTTGAATATGGGGCTCAAAGTGTGGCAAGAGAAAAGAAAAGGTATTGGACATTTCTGAATCACGATGCCTTGGTCCCCCACTCTTCTTGATAAACCTGCTCAGTGAGATCACCAAGTGTGTTCCTCTCCTCCCACCCTGACCGGGGCTGGACAATGACATTGGCTCTCACTGAGAGGGGCAGGAGGACAGGGGTGGTGCAGCACCCGCTACCTCGAGACTGACCCCAGAGAGGGCGGTGGAAACATGCCGCCATCATGTACAGTCAGGGCTGACAGGGGGAGGAGGGGAGCGGGCACAGACAGATAAAGGGAGAAAGGGGAGGAGAGGCAGGGAGAGGACTCGGGCAGGTAAGCCCTCAGCAGTGTCCCCGCAGTGCCCCCACAGGAGGCCAGTGTGTCGGCTCACAACTGTGAGAGGGCAGCGGCGGCGGGCACCAGCCCCGCTGAGCTTCTTTGCTGCTCAGCCTGAAAAGAGACAAGAACCAAACACATACCTGGCCGAGTCCCAGGGAGTGACTCCTGATCTTTGGATGAGGGGTTTGGTTCTCTTAAAAGTACCCTGTTATGGAGTACAAGCGGGGTTCTTTAAGTAGAACGAGTACGGAATCCAAACGAGTTACAAAGGTTTGCAGAACGCTCTACAATCGTGCGCACGCCAGCCGACACCGCACTTTACCGAGCACGAAAGGCCCGGGTAGCTGACACCACACGGTCTGAAGCTCAGGCTACCTACCTCACGGGGTTGTTGTGGGGACAGCTGTCGGGTCTGGAGAAATGTCTTGAGCTCCTCGAGGGAAAGGCGCTACAGGAATGTAAACACAAACAACAGTGAGAACACGGCACAACTGGACCCGCGGTTCCTAACTAGACTCACAACATCAGCTGTTGCAACGATTCCCACAACACAATGTGGGAGCTTTCTAGCACTAAGCAGGCCCCGAAGGCCACCAGGGGCCACTGCTGCCAAGTTCTCTTCTGTCCATGTTATTTTCCACCCATGATTACAGTTAGAAGGTCTAGAAAGGTTTCTGGGCCCATCGTCAAGCCCCGATTATAAAGTGATGTGTAAAGTCATACTCCGCAGCAGTGACAAGGAATTCAGTCCAAACCTAAGCACAGTGAAAGCCAACAGCCTGGGGCGGACGGCCAGGGAGCGCACAGGCTGACCCTGGATGAGGAGAAGCCAGATGGGTTCCAGTTCCTGCTCACTGCTCCAAGGGTCTCCCTGCCTCCTCAAGACACAGGGCCCCGATGAAAACACCGCCCTACTCTACGTCCTGGTGGCACAGTCAGCAATTAAAGACCAGCAGCAGCTGAAGACAGACTTTCTCCTTCCCTACGGCGTTACAGCTTCAGAAACCCACGGGGGAAGTTCTATCCTCTCCAGTCAGGTCACTGTGTGCTGGAGTCAACGTGACGGCAGTTAAGTTTGGGTTGTTTCGGAAACGTGCCGAGAGACAGCCCGGGCATCTGCAGACGCAAACCCAGCCTCCAAGGACACCCCTGACCCACAGTGTTCACTGAAGATGGGTTGTTGGTTCCCCACTGTCTTAACAGGACACGGTCCATTTCCCGATGTTCCACAGAATAGCGTCTTTGAAAATGTTAAGACAGCATTCTGATCAATGCTTGCTCAACGATGAAGGCTAAAAAAAGGACACTCGTTTTCGCAGAAACCCACAAGGATGATGGGAGACTGAGCACCTTCCACTAACATCTACAAACTCCATTTACCCCGGCTTCGTTTGCTCTGAATGGCAACTTAGACGCCGCGGCCTTTAGACTCCCTGAAAACAGGGTCTCTGGAGAAATTCTGGGAGTCTGGTAAGATGACCACAAGGGCACTGCCACGCTGGTCAGAGGCGGCACTGCTGCTCTCAGCAGGCAACAGGGTTGGTATACCGTTCGGGCTGGCTTCGGGCCTGGAAGACGCCACTGAGGTGCTGAAAATACAGACATGCTTCCCCACCCCTGCAGCTTCAACGTGCTTAGCCAGCTGCAATCTCAGAAGCTCTGCTTGCAGGGAAAAGGAGTCACTGGCATTTGATGGCTCTTAACTTTTGGACCCTCACGATACAGCTAAGAACTTAAGTTTCAGATACATTCGAGTGTCGATCTAAACTTGACACATCTTTAAAAATAGAACATTTGTATTCACAGCATCACGATATGTGAAGCTAAATTTCAAAGGGCAACCCTCACAGTAAATTTCCCTGTAGAGAGCAGCACTTACCTGAAAGAAGAAAAGGTCTGTAATAAAATCATGGGGGTGGTAAGTAAGGTATGAGGAGGGGAAATGATCCTATAACCTGGGGCTCTGCAGGGCGCTGCGAGAATCCAGCTGAACTCACCATCTAGAACAGAACTGGAGGCGGCTCCCGGCCTCATATATTAATAGAAAATTCCTGGATAAGTAAGAACGCAGCTCAGCAGCGCAGGTGGCCCCTCCTGGCTCACGTACAGAAAGCCCCCCTTGGACCTCACTTTAAATGCTGAGTAAGAGTAACCGCCTGCCAAGTTCAACAAAAGCATCTGCTCCTCCTAGACAAAAGCGTGAAATTACCTAGTGTTCATTTTGTGTGTTTGAAAACCTAAATAGGGATCGAGAACCAAACTGGTTGCCAGGTCATCGTTTTCACAAAGCTCCTTGGCAGACATTCCTGAAGACGGCACATAGCGACTCTGTCCTTCAAACCCGGAACTCCCGTGGCCTGTGAATGAAGCCAGAGAAGTAACTGTAACTCAAAGGGGGTACTCGGAAACCTTACCTCAACATTCGGCTTACACGGCGTGCCATTCTGACGCATTTCCATCTCCTCAGTGAAATTACAGAACCCGGTTAGTTACCCCCTACCACTGATGCTGACTTTTATCCATTTCTCCTAATTTGTTTTCTTCAAAGTCTTCCAATCTCGAAATTCTGTGTGGTTTACCTCTCTCTATGGATGCATGTCAACTTGACCTGAACGTAAATGGAGTATGAATCCCAGAAAGTCGGTTTCACTCATGAAAACATTACTTCAGTCACCAATACAAACGTAGTCAAAAAGCTCTTAGAAAGTCAGCATGGAATGTAAAGACAGGTAATGCCGCGGACATGGTCACAACGACCCACCCAAGCGACCTTCAGATACGTCCACCCAGAATCTCAAATGCTGAATCAGGTTAAGTTGTGTAAATTAACAGAGTTTCATTTATAAATAGCATATACTTATGTTGTTTTAAAATGCTGTTTAAAGAAAAATGTGCAGTTTTGCACACGTGTCAATGTTGACGCCTGTCCGTAGAGATGTCCGTGAACCTAGTGTTACAAACCCTTTACTTCACTAACCCACCAGTCTGATCAGGACAAGGCAGCAGCTGTGGTGGCCCCCAAGCATTCTGGCTAGCCAGTGAGGGCGGGGGGTCAAGCGGGCTGTGGCTCTCTGGTTCCCAGCTTTGCTCTCCCCTCTGAGAGGAGATTGGATGGGGGCAGCTGGCGGGCGCACGCAGAGTAAGGCAGTATCAAGAGCCTTCCCGGATAGGAAGGGGGGTGGGGGTGGGGGGGAGACATACAACACTGTCTATGACTACTCCCAGAGCAGCAGCTGGTTCTGAGGCTTCTGGGGGGGGGGGGCGCAATTATTGTCCCTGGACTGTGTAGCTACTATGGCCTTAGGACTAAGAAGTGGGTCTAGGTGCCAGGGTGAGGTAGCAGAATTTAGAGGAAGCAGCAGATGGTGAACAACAAACTCAAACTCCCTGCCATCCAGTCACCTGCAGAGCAGAACCGCCCCTGTGGGTCACAGCACCTCATCTTTCTCCCGTGGAACAGCTGGCGGGTTTGAACTGCCGATCTCACCCTCAACAGGCTGTCCTGTTCTGAAGGGATAATGGAAGCAGGGAAGTGGCTGATGTCATGAGTACAGTATGACCAGGTCGGGGCATCAGCTCCTGGGATTCATCATGAGAGGTCACCAACTCTTCCGGCTCTCAGAACGCAGGTGTGGAAGACAGACAGAGGCAGGGAGGAGAGGCGGAGACCCACTCCTACAAGCAGCAAACACACACCTAACTCTACCACAGCTGAGGCCGAGGTTTTCAATCACGTTCTTCACATGCAGGGGTGTGGAAAGCTATAGGTCATCGCATTTCCCACCCTAACAGCTTTAGTGAGATTTACCCACTTAGGGTGTCGAAGTCAGGGGTTTGTCAGCAACGTGCAGCCAACGCAACAATCAACCTTTACAGCACTCGCATCTCACCCTCCAAATGACCCCCACCCAGCAGTCACAACCTATTTACCCAGGAGCTTCTGGGGGTGCACTGGAAGTGTAAGGCTACTCCCCACCAGGATGATGGTGTGCACCCAGCAAAAGGCAGCCATTCTGGGTGACAAGAGAGGAGGCCATCTGCTCCTATCAAGACTGCAGCCTGCAAGACCCCCAGGAGCCCAGACTCGCCTCAGGGCAGGCAATGGGTGTATCTACTTCTCCCTTCCTCCCTGCTGGGCCCTGGAACCACCAACCACTCCCTTTCTCTCTGTGGGAATCCCCTGGCGAGGGAGGAGCGAGCCGCGTGGTGTTTCCAAGCTCCCCTCTGTGGCACCAGGCACCACTCAACGTCTTGGAGCCCTTACTGTCTCCCTGTCTAGCAGACCACATTCTCCGTATTTATCAATCCTGGGGCACACTGATGGGTTCCACCTTTTCCAGAACCTCTGCCCAGTTTTTAATGCACTCACTCACTCACTGCCATCGAGTCAATCTCTATACAAGTCAGCATCGGAGCAGCCAGTGGGTTTGAACTGCTGACCTTGAGTAACAGCCCAGTGTGCAATCCACGACACCACCAGAGCGCCTATTGACTTATTTAAAATTAAGGATTGCTGAGTTGGAACCCACTCGGTGGCAGTAAGTTTTGAGGCTTTTCAACTGGCTGTCTTTACTGTTGAAGGTCCTTTATATATTCTGAGTGCCAGACCTCTATCAAATGAAATTATTTTCTTCCAACCTGTGGGCTGCGTGTTCTTTCTTGATGGTGTGTCTCTTGAAAGCAGGAGTTCTATAATTTGATGAATGCAATTTATTTTGTTTTTGCTGCTTGTACTTTTATAGCTAATAAACTACCACTGAATCAGAAATCACGAAAATTTGCACCAGTGTGGTTTTCTGAGTCTTACAATTTTAGCTTTTACAGTTCACTTTTATATATGGTATGAGGCAGGGGGAGCTGACCCCACTTGTCCTAGCACCACTGGTTGAAGAGACTTTCTACAGACAACAAACTGCAAGTCTGAGGGTTTGTCTCTAGACTCGATTCTATCCTACTGCGTCTGTCAGCACAATCTCTTGATGACTGCAGCTTTCTAGTTAAGTTCTGAAAATGGGACGTCTAAGTCCTTTAACTTTGTTCTTGTTCTTTTTCAAGATCTGTTTTGGCTACTCTAGAATTTCCATGAGAAATTTAGGATCAGCTTTCAATTTCTGCAAAGAGACTAGGTGGGGTGTCCACTCACTCCACCAAAGCTGGGACTCTGATCAAAATTGTGTTGAATCCATATCTCAATTTGGGAAGTATTTTTACCATTAGCTTTTCCACTGAATAAACATGGGAGACCTTAACTTCTTTCAACATTGTTTGCAGTTTTCAAAGTTGTGCATTTGTTAAATTTATTCCTAAATAGTCTATTTTTGATGCTAGTGTAAATAGACAGTTCCTTAATTTCACTTTCAGGTTGTTCACTGCAAGGGTATAGAATGGTTGACTTTGAATACCCTGCAAACGCACTGAACTTGTCTTTAGCTCTAATAGTTTTAGTGGATTTTTCGTGTTTTTCATGCACTAGATCACGTGACTAGACAACTAGCCTGTTTTACCATTAAGTCATGGTCTCACCTCTGGGTTTTTCAGACAGATCCTTTATCAAATTGAGGAAATTTTGAGTTTGTTGAATGTTCTGTCATGAGAAAGAGTTGGGTTTTGTCAAATGCCTTTTCTGAGTCTGCTGAGATGACTGTCTTTTATTCTGGACTCTTAATTGATTTTCCAGATAATGGTGCAGTGAATTATTTTAACATGGCCCTTCTAAATCCAGGCCCCACCCCCATCTTGTGCTATATTATAAATCCCACTCTCTGTGCCTTTGGTTAGGGTCCCATTTTGGAACTGTTCGTTATGCTAATAAGGTGTGATCAGAGTGGATTTCTCTTTCATGGAAACCGTACCAGAAGGTGTGAATAAACCACCACCCTTGGTTTTCTCGAAGGTGTGGTCTGTGTCCAATATACTGAAATGCTCTAGTCAAGTTCTCTATCTCACTCCGGATCCTGCATCTGGTCCATCTTCATCTGTAGCCTGGTGAGCCAGCAGCCTGTCAGCTTGGCTTTGTCAGCCCTGTAACCGTGAGTGAGGAGAACTGTCCAGACTGACATCGGACCCACAGAGTCTCAGCTAAGTGAGCCACTTCCTTGGCAGTTGGGAGTTCTATGAGATATTGCAGCCAATTATGGAACTTTAAGATGGAAGCGCCAAGAGTCCTGGGGGCGAAGTGGATGTTCGGGATGAAAGAGGGATAGTAAAGCAGCAGTTTGGGAAGTGGAACATTTGGAACACCTTTAACCCACACCTCACGGCACAGGGACCAGCCTTGTGTGACTCCTTCTACATGAAATTATACATGCATAGAGGGGAAGCCAGCCTTGTATTTATTCTCGGAGGAAATCTTACTTAGCCGTGATGTAGAATCCTTTTCCTATGTTGCTGGACTTGTATGCTCGTGTTTTGTTAAGGATTTGTGCCTCTCTTTTCCTAGGAGGTACTGGTCTTACTCCTGACTTTTAAGTTTGAGCATTTAGTCTTTCATTATTAAGTCATGGTAACACCTCTGGGTTTTTCTTTTTTTCCCACCAAGAGTTCCCCAACCTCTGGGTTTTCCATAGATGTCCTTTATCAAGGACATTCGTTGGACTGCTAACCACAAGGGTCAGCAGTGTGATCAGCTGCTGCTCTGAGGGGGAAAGATGGGACTTTCTACTCCCATAAAGTCACAGTCCTGCAAACTCACTGTGGGCAGTTCTACCTGCTTCAGAGGGTTGCTGAGTCAAAACAAGATTTTTTGTTTGTTTACTGGTCTGTAGTTTTCTTGTGATTTTTCTGGTATCAGGGTAACTGCCCCCATACAATGATGTTGACAAGAAAACATTGCTTTATTATTTTTAGGGAGAGTTTCCGGAGGACTGGTCTTAATTTTGTAAACATTTAGTAGAAGTCGCCAGTGAAGAAATGAATCATCTGTGAATAACTATTAAAAAACAAAACAAGACAAAAACCACCCAGATCTATTACTAGTGATTCAACCGCTTACTGATATTTTTTAATTTCTTTTTGGATCAATTCTGATTGTTTCCTCCTAAGAACTTGCTCACTTAATCTACATGACTGACTTTGTCATTATACAGTTCAGAATGTTCCCCAATAATCCTCTATTTCTCTAAGCTTTGCAGTAATGTCCTCTTCTGTTTTGACTTCAGTAATCTGAGTTGAATTCACTCTTTCCTTGGTTAATGTGGATGAAGGGGCCCAGTTTTATGGATCTTTTCAAAGAATCAACTTTTGGTTTTGTTGATCTTATTTTTCTATTTCATGACTATCAATCTTTTTCTTCATTCTGCTTGCTCTGGTTCTAGTCTGTTCACTTTCCTAGTGTCGTACAGCTGAAATGCATTATTTTACTACCTAGAACCAATACCACTGAAGTGGTCATTTCTCAACTCCTTCAAACTAGAAGAACCCATCAAAGGCCACACGTTAGGGCAGGACCAGAGCACAGACTAACAGCACCCTCAGGGGAGGGGGAGAGTCCAGGAAGAGGAGAATCCATGTAGACCTGCTCCCCATCCCTTTCTGTCCCTAGATGGGCCTCCTGCCTAGACTCCTACATGGTAGCAACCTGATGGGCCAGGGATAGTAAGGGCCCAATGACTAGCATATACCCCTAAATGTAAAGGGAAGGAGATGACTCAGAACTGGTGAAATCAACCTAACACTGTAGAAAATCCCACAGTAAGGCCAACCCAATAAATGGAAACCAGGACGATTCCAAGACCATCTACGGATATTCAACAGTAACCTCAAGAAAAACAAAAGATTCAACAAGGTATCTTTCTCAAAAATGGCCACACACTTTAATATGACTGATCTACTGAATGTACGACATGTGAATGACATGCCAATAACTGTTAACAAACAAACAAAGCACAGACTTTTGGACAATCTACATAGAGCTGCCAATTTACACAGTGGACACTCCTCCTCAGGCATCCGCTACTTTTAGAAGTGTGGAAGATGTAACTTCACAAATTCTCTCCCAAAGCAGGTCCGTTCTTGCCACGGGGTGCAAAGAAAATGAAGCAACTTGTGGGCACCGCTTCACCGTCCGGCGAAACGATGTGTTTACACCATAAATGAAATGACACGGCTCTACGGTCAAGCTCTGGGGTCCTGCTGGCGGAGCGGGCTACAATACAAATTGGGCAAGGTCAGCAGTTTGAAACCACAGGCGCTCCGGGGGAAAGGGTGACGTTTTCTGCTCTCATAAAGGCTTACAGCCTCAGCACCCACAGGAGCGGTTCTGTGCTGTCCTGCAGGGCCCCTGGGAATCGGAACAACTCAATGCAGTAAGTTCTGTCAAGTGAAGGAGCCCCAGTGGCCAATAGCTAAACACTCAGCTCCTAACCAAAACCGACAGCTGCTCCGCAGAACCCCGAGGCAGTCGGCGTGTCAGGTGTCAGTGCTGGAAGCCACCCTGTCCTAGAGGGTTGCAGTCTTTGCAAGTGACTTGATGGCAATGAGACTGACCAACGCAGTCCATCCGTGACCCTCCACTCCACTGCCATGCAAGTTAGAGTCAACGTACGACTCGCAGCAGACATGAGTGCTTATGAAAATTGACTAGAGAACGACGACATGCTTATTCCTTTACCAAATGCACACAACACAGTTTAAACTGGGGAGAAATTCAGTCGCAGTACTTTTAAAACCCTACCAATTGTAATATGAATCATGACTAGAGAAGACTGGTGAAGGTTATCATGTGAAGCATCAAACTTTATGCTGAAGCTTCGTGTCAGTTCAATAATCAGGAACGCTGGTGGGAGGTCAAAGTGCACAGAGCACGTGTTGGTGATGAGACTATGAAAGACTGCCAGGAAGGCCCAAGGGAGGAGACGCATAACAAAGGGAGGGACTGGCCGGCCGTGTCCACCACCTGCACCCCGCTATACGTACATCTGCTTGACCTCCGCTCCACTGCATTCCGGCCCGTCTTCAGCGCGTCCTTCCCCGAATGCTGTAGTTTGGACGGGTGCTGCTGCTGGTCGTTAGACCACTTGCCTCCATTTCTCCGGCCATTCACCACCATGTTCTTGGAGTCCCCTAGCCACTTCATGCCCACAGACAGCCTGCGCCAGGGGCATCGAGTCACTCCCGTCCAGGCACTCCGAGGGAAGGTCGCTGTTTCTCCTACAGGAAGACACAGGAAACAGCCACCACGGGGAGTCAGTACCGCAATGCACAGACAGAGCCCTACAAAGAGACAGGGCACTCAGAGGGCCCCGGCCCATGTCCTGCCGACCACCCCGTGGACGAGAGGGGAGGTGGTCGGAAGCAGTACTCATCCTGCCTGCATTCAGATGGGGACCAGCTAATCACAGCAGGGGCTCAGCCTGCCGGTCTTGGGACGCTTCCTCACTCCCAGGAGTAAGCCACAGACGATCCCGCTCTTTTGCGCCAAACAAAACTAAGAACAGGCATCACTGCTACGTTCTGCCCATGACAGTGAGGCCACCTGGCTGTGACGCTACCCATTCGAATGGTCCCACAGTGTGGACAGGCCGAGGGTGAAGGAGGAAAACCGGGGACCACATCGTCTCACGTTGCTGCTGTCAGGGGGAAAGCACTGCTCAAGGCAGTCAAGGGGACACTACTAAAGAGCCATGTCTGCCAAAGCGTCCCTTTCTAGGGACAGCACACACAGAGGCCTCTCTCCACACACAGTGGATGAGAATGCCCTGGAGCGGGAAGGATGCTGCTCAGGGACAAGGCCCTCTGGGTGTGAAGTGTCAGGGACCTCTGTCATGAGTGATGTCGGATGTCCCCTCATGAGGGACGTATGCTTTAGTGCAGACCCCAGGTCTTCTGAACTAGCGAGCGCTTGGGTTACCACTACACCTTCTTGTTCGTAGTTGATCGAAGGCTGGTGATGGTAGTCACCTGCCCTGTCCACCCACTCAAGCACACCCAGGGGCCCATTGCCTGGCTTCTCATGAGGCGACAGGAGAGCCTGGTGGGCAAGCGCACCCCACCCCCCCCACCGCCATGTCGGTTGCCCATGCCCCAGACCCCTGCTGTTCCCTTCTCCCTGGTGCATCTGAGCAACACCCTAGGTAATGCGGCACTGCACCACTGCTGCTGCTCCTGGTGACACTCAGCTAGCACCCAGTTCCCCATGCGCTGAAGACCAGCAGCACACCACAGACTGAACCATCAACTTTTACCCAAAATTAACTCAGGGCCCTATTTATGTGAGGAGCCCTAGTGGCGCAGTTAGTTGAGCACTGTCTGCTAACTGAAAGGGCAGAGAGCTGTGGAGGTCTGCTTCCACCAAGACCGAGAGCCTCAGAGCCCCTGGGGCTGGCCCACGCTGCCCCACAGGGCACCTCTGCATCGGCACGGCTGGATGGCAGTAAGTTGGTTGGTTCGTTTATTTGGGCTGCTTCTGACTATAAGGAGTCACGTGAAGGTGAGTCGAGCTTGGACGTTCAGCCAAGGCCTGGGGCAATGCCATCATCTTCGTCCAGCTGATTCTTCTGGCCCTTTCGTCCAGTGCCCGTCCTCCAGGAAGCCTTCCCTGAGGAGCTCACTGCCACGGCCAGGGAGAGGCCCTTTAAGAAGCCAGTTAAACAGCCTTCTGGGCCCGGGAGTAAATGCAGACACCCCAAATCCAAGGATCCAGTCTCGTCTCTGGGGCAGCACAGCGGGGCAGCCCCAACAATGGAGAACATGGAGGAGCCCTGGCGCCTGAACCTGGACCCTTTCCTGGGGCTGAGAGGGACCTGCTTGAATGCTCGGTTTCCGAAGACACAGCAGGCGGCACACCTGAGGCTGAGCAGCCCAGGAGGCGACAAAGGACCAGCGTGGCAGTTACCCCTCCTGCGGCTCCTGAGAATACAGGTGAACCACCCCGGGACAGCCCAGACTCCACCCAAGGTTCGGTGAATGACTGAAGAGTTTGTGCCTAACTCCTCAACACGACTAAACAGCAACGGACCCCTCAAGTCCCACCCAGAGTGCCCTTGGAGAGACGTGGGAAGAAAACACGTGACAAGACAGGTTGCCTGGCCTGGCCACGCCACTTCCCTGGCCTGGCTACGGTCTGAAGAAAAACCATCCCCCAGCACCCTGTTGACAATGGAACCTCTGGGACTACAGCCCAAACTCCAGGACTAGCCACTGAACCCCAGGGCCAGTATCCACACCAATACAAACCTCGGCCTCGTCTGAACTGTAGCCACTGACCTTAGGGAGTGGACCCAGGGCTCAGTAACGGCCACCCTCAAAAAGGGCTTGAGTGGGAATTGACCCAACAGCAGGGGCTTAGTTTGGGAGAGGCAAGTGGACAACCAAGAGAAAGTGTCCTCCCGGAGACCAGTGGCCTGTTGCAGAGGGTCCAGGTGCACCCAGAGGAAAACCTCTTTAAGTCTAAACCCACAAGGTGAAGCCCCGAAGACTGTAGGGCAAATGGAGCAGAGCACCTGGGCAGCAAGGCCTGGCAATTTGCTTCCTGAAGGTCACAGTCTTGGAAAGCCAACAGAGTGCTCTACACAGAGTTGCAACCAGACCGAGCAGCAGCTCCCGACCACCACCACCAGACCCCGGATAGGCCGGGCTCCCCAGCTTCTCGCAGAGATGCGAGTGCATCTAGGTAGGACAGCCAGACTGCATGGAAACATGGCCAATGGGACAGACGGGGTGGGGGTGGGGGACAGATAGCACCAACAAGCGCAACCATCAGGACCACTCCCACCGTGACAGCATCAGAGAGCTAGGTCAGTTACAGGGAAGTCAAGAGCAGCATGCCTGCATCTCTGCTAACTTTCTCCTTAAAAGAATTCAGTAGGCAATTCTCAGGGAGGGGTGTAACGCAGACTGAATATACTGACGGGCTGCCTGGGAAGGGGTGTGCCCTCTCATTTTGTGGGGAGACCAGCTGGGTGGGGGCATGTTGGGAGGTGAGCAGCCGCATTCCCCTAGGCCTACTTGGCTTCAGGCTGGCCTGATCCAGGCTGTCAGGGTGGGCAGCAGAGTCTGACAATGCTGCCCCTCACCCCCCCAGTGCTGTTTGAAATCATGAGTTGTCAGTGAAGTATTTAAAGAGGAAACATGTCATCACACCCTGAAACCACTCTTCAGTCAAGAGCGTGACTCACTCACAGGGACCTTATAAGACAGGGCAAACATGTCCTGTGGGTTTCTGAGACTGTAACTCTTTATGGGAACAGACAGCCTCTTCTTTCTTCTGAGGAGCTGGTGGTGGATTTGAACTGCTGAATTTGCGGTTAGCAGCCCAACGTGTAACCACTGCGCCACCAGGGCTTCTCACAGTACTCTGAACGCTTCCCTGAGGAAGTACTAAGTGGGTTCACAGACCTGATATGCAGTATACTCATCTCCCCCTGCCTCCAGTCACCGTCAGCACCTTCCCATCCTGCACATCCCAAGGATTACAGACAGTAAGCGCTTTCTGAGCCAATAGTGCTAACCCAATCCAACAACTCAGGTTCCAAGCCCTTTCCACACGACGGTTTTAGGTTGTTCTTCTTTCTGTCTGAAGCTGTCAGAAATAGTAAACCCTGGTTCTGAAGGAGCACTCAGCATTTCAGCATCAAGATAATAAGTGGACATTGCCAAGGACCAGCTAGCCAGCTCACAGGCTGGTTGGTCTGCAGATGGCAGGAGTGCGGCAATGGCCAGGGAACTAGCGGGGGTGGGGTGGGGGTGGTGGGGGGTGGTGTTAGCTTGTACACATTAAAAACAAAGCATGTTCTTCCTCTGGCCTTCTAGAAGTTTTAATTCAGAAAAGCCCAGCAGAGGTGCTCCAAGGGATTAGGCTACAACTGGGCACTGGGCAAGAAACGATTCAACAGAACCAACAGCGAGCGCTGGGCCCACTGGGGAATGAGGTGCTGCAACTGCGCAGGACGCAGCTTCCTCTGGCCCACCTTTGCAAGGCCTCTCAGATCTATGAGAGGAGAATAAGGCAGTGAACAGACTCCACTAATCCTTTCTGCGTGACTCAAACATACTTAAGTTACAGCTTACAGACCCCGCTGCTGTCACCCTGCAGGACGGAGCAGGGCTGCCCCGCAGGGTTCCCAAGATGGTCATCTTTACAGAAGCCCATGGTCACAGCTTTCTCCGTAGAGCAATTGGTGAGTCTGAACTGCTAAGCATTTCACCGCTGCGCCACTCCACGGCCCCCTGAGATCTCCAAGTCTTCACAAATCAGAAGCCCAGATGCCCAGGGTGATGGGAGTCTAACAAGTTATAGAAGGTGTCAGAGCTAAACGCAAAACTAACAGCTGGAAAGTCAGAAAGAGACAAGCAAACTGAAATGCAGCCACTGGCCAGGGACAAGCACGCTCAGTGCAGGTGTCGGCCCCAAAGAGGCTTGCCTGGCAACGGGATGCTGCCCAGCCTCTTCATGCCTGTTTCATGTGCAGAAGCCACAGGCACCAACAAACCAAGCAGCCCACTAAATGTCTAGGTGTGCAGAATTCACCTTCCTGATGCCCACAGGGTCCTGACTAGCTTGACCCATGGGCTCTCCCCTCTGCTAACCCTGGATAACAGCCTGCTGGGGCTTCTTCCCGCCACAAGGCTTTGCACCTGGAGGTTACCCACCAAGCCTGTCTCCCAGCCTGTCCTGCACATCGCTTTTGGGCAGTATGCAAGCACTGTATCTTCCCCTGTCTTGTGCTCGTTACAACTGCGCCTACTTCACTGGGTAATTCTTTGCTACCACATGTCTTCTTTGTACCCTTCTGCACAGGTCCAACATAGTTCAGCTCCATCCCTAACTGCTCCCTAACACCAAAACAAACATCCTTTCCCTCAAATCTGATTTCAGATGGAGTCTACAATGGAGCCAGCAGGCTCAGACTCATCCTCATCAGGTGAGTGCACGCCCCTTAGCCACAGGCTCTACTCAAGGCCCCCTGGGGCCCACCAGCAACACGGGAGGTAGAAGAGTCCTGTGGAAGCAGAAACAACGATGGACAGACAGCCATGATCCAGTTTGACAGGCAAGTGCTTAGCTGTCAACTTGCTAGAAAGCTGCTGTGAGACCAAGACCATCCTGTGACCTTCCAAGCGGCTCCTCCAAATGGCAGGCGGCTTTCAAAGGCTGTGAGAAGACCCCATGACCTCTGAGGTCTCTGACTCCACCTACCTTTGGAACCCTTGTATTGTCCCGAGCAATGAACACCAGGTGAGCAGCTGGGGGT